AGATACCATGTGATGCCAGTAGAATGGCAAAGTGAAAAGTTATGTGTGCTGGTGAGTGCAGGGGAAGGTGAACGTGGGAGCTCTTGCAACAGTCATGGGAGTGTAGACTGGAGTGGGTATTCTAGAAACAGTCATTTGGAGATTGTCAGTGAAACTGATGTGAAATCTCTGACCCAGTAGCCCTACTCTGAGGTGTACATCTTGCATGTGTCAGGAAAACTGCCACCATACCCTTCAGGAGCTTACTGGGGTGCTGTTTATGGTTCAAATAGGTGGAGGCACTTCGGGCTTTTTCTCATTTACAATATGAGTTACTGTACTCTGGTTAGAAACAGCAGGCGAGGCGTACACAAAAGAAAATGATGAGGCAAGAAAAGGTTTATAGAACATCCTATAATGTTATATACAGACAAATATGCACATGCTTCATAGGCTAACTGTTAAAAGCAGGTGTCTGCAGGCAGTAGCAACAGGCTGTGTTCCCCTCTTATTTTTTTCTGTACTTTTTCAAGTTTTGCACAACTCAGCTAAGGAATCAGCCAAGTGAGTTAAAAAGTCATCTTGGGCGATCCAGCACCAATGCATAAAGGAGCCTCGACTTGCTGAGGAAGGTAGTTTCTGGTAGTTTGCAGCGGTGACATGCAATGAAGCTCATCTCCCGATATTCATGATCGTGCTTATGCTTCTGTGGAATCTGGCCTAGGTGACTTGCTCTAACCAACAGAAAATGGGTGACATTGTGGCCAAGTGTGGCAGCTTCCATGTTTGTGTTTTGAGGGCTCCTGAGCTGCCACGGAAGAGGTTCTCCTGCCCGTGTGGAAAGGCCATGTAGGAAGGTCTCTTGCAAAGGGAGAGGCCCTGAGACTACTCAGAGAGCCACTCAGACATCAGCTGTCCTGCAGAAAACAGCCCCTCACTGCCGGCCTCTGATGGCAATAACCCCAGGGGCCACTGGCAAAACCAGCTGAACCGCTCGCTTCCCTGCCTAGTCCAGACTGCACCTATGGAGTAAATGCGTGGTTGTTGGGAGTCACTAAATTGTAGAGCTGTCACACAGCAATAGAAACCTGAAGCAACCAAGTGAGAGTGGGATCTCAAAACTTAACCTTTTAGAAGGAGAATATTATGTTCACTATTCAACTGGGGTGAGGCGCGGCCAGGTGATTTCACCTGGCTAATGGCACATGAGCAGACCCCATGTGCATCCCTGGGGGCTTTTGATTGTCATGTGGCCTGGCCTAGCCTCTAGTGCTTGGTCCTCTGCTGTGGGAAAAGCATCTGGTTGACCCTAATGCACTTTATCTTGTGTTCCAGAATGACAGATACGTGGGGCAGTCCTGTCTGGGGCAGGACCAGTATGGCCAAGTCTCAGGCCCGTGAGCAAAAAACAAGTTTATTGTCCTAAGCAGCTGAGAGCTGAGATCTGAGGGTTGTTACTTCTGTAAAAGCTAATATGCTTAGCCAACCACGCATCATTTAAATTCTTCCTTCAACAAAACCTTTGCCACTTCTTGCTGTGCCTCCTTGGGAGGTAAATCTCATAATCACTCCTATGTCCCCCTCTTTGTTGAATGGGAGATTATTTATTTATTTTTAATTTAAAAATTATTATTTATTTATTTATCTTTATTTTATTTTAAAGATTTATTTATTTATGCATACAGAACTGGGGTACAGGCCAGAGGTGCAGGGGCAGTGAGAGGCTTCACCATAGACAGTGGGGAGAAGAACAGGCTGACTGACAAAGTACACTGCTGAGGAGAGCAGCGGGGAGGTGAGGACCCGGGCAGGTGAGGACCCAGGCAGGCGAGGATTGAACTAATGCAGAAGCAGCTTTAACTTCCCAGTGCTGTGTTTTAACCCGCTGCGCCACCAGGGAGGGCTCCCTGAATGGGAGATTCTGACTCAAATTAAAGGCAACAGAATAGAATAATCAGAATAGAAGAGTTTTATCACAGAGTTACATCACAGAAATTTGTTCACTTTTTCACAACTCTGGAAAAAAAATTGTGGGTCAAGGTTTTTGAGAAAGTCTGACCAAAGATTGAACAACATAATAGGTGATCCTTCTCAATTTGTTTCCATGGTGATTCTGTATTCAATATGGCTGGTAGCTGGATCTAGAAAGGATTGTCTTGACTAATGCAAACCTGGTCTAATCTACACCACAATGGTGCACTGAAGGTCAGAAAGCACCTGACACAGTGGAGAAAGATTTCAGATAGCCAAAATCTCTCCCCTTGTTTGTCATTGAGAGCAGAGTAGTAAGGGAAGAATCTGAAATTTTAACACTTTGACCTTGCATGTACACAGCTACACTAAGCACATTCTATGTGCCAGGCTCCGTGCTAACTACTTCAACTCCTTCAAACGCAAGTAATCCAATGAGGCAAGTAACAAACATCATCACTCTATTGACAAAGAACCGATCACGGAAACGTTCAATAATTTCCCTAAGATGGCGCGGCTAGGAAGCGTTACAGCCGACGTTCCTGTGCTGTAGTCTAAACTTACCCGGATGCGGTAGCACGGGACTGCTGACCGAGGGTGATGCTGCAGTTACATTAGACCTCTATGTGGCTGGAAATGCCTATGATGCCTAGGCACAGCAGTACCTTGACACTGACTTTGCTGGCTGAAATGTATTTGCCATGTCAGTGACCCCCAACACGTGGGGTTGTTTCCGGTAGTGAGGAGTTAACAATTTGGGAAACAAGGTTTGAAGAGTAAACGGGTTCTTTCAAGATTTCACTCAATACACCATTATCAAAATTTTTACTTCTGTGTTCTAAATTTAGCTCTGGTGATCAAAGGGCCTTCCTAACAAGTATAGAAATTATTCTACAGTGCATTTAATCATGATTTTATTCAAGTGCAAACCAAGGCTGCCAGGTGGCCATATTTGGTTCCTCATGTGTTAGGAAAACAGTCAAAAGGGAGTGACCTGATGTTATCAAGGAAAAATAAAAATGTTATTACACTGTGAGGACCAAGATTAATTTGGGAAGATCTGGGGCTACAAACACCCAGGGGTTGATGAATGGGAAATACATTGAAATAGATGACCAATTTCTAAAGGGCTATTTATCTTTCAGGAGTAAAGTCAGTCCATTCTCCCAGAGGAGAATCCTAGTAAACAGAGGAGCTACTCAAAGGCAAGAGCACTCATCGAACACTGGTGGAACCATCAGCCGAACATCCGGTCCATCTGAATCAACTAACTTGGTGTTAGTTACAGAAACAGGATCAAAACTCTCTTCACACTTCCTGCTAAAGTATAATTGTTACCCCCACTTATTTTTTCCTTCTTGGGAGGAAACTAAGAAAAATAGACAGCACCTAGAGATGCTGGCCCCTAACAACAGCAGCTCTACGACATGACCTCTGGGTGGGAATTTAGGTAGAACTTTGGTTAGTCACTTTGTGGGGGAGGTGAGTGAATGTGTGGCTGTATGTAGAAGAGCTGGCTAACCTGAGCAGGAGTATCTTTGTGCGGGAAGACAGATGTGTGCACGGTTTGGACATGCATGCTGAAGGCTGAGTGGCTAATGGGTGGCAGAGGGCTTGGCGCACGTAGATGACTTTCCCACCATATGGCCAGTAAGGGGTGGAGCTAGTAAAACCCCGGCTGTAAACTGTTAGCATTGGGGGCACCCAAGCATGGGTTATAGGGGAACCGATTGTTTGATCTTCACAACTCTTCTGGAAATTTCGAAAATTTAGTAAGAGAAAAAAAAAAAAAAAACTTGGTTGAGCATACACTTTTAATCACTGGACGTGGTTTTATCTGTGGACCCCTGGCTTAAGCAATGCTTGAAGAGTTGACATTCGTTTCCTCGGTCCCCAACATGGATCTCATTTCCATCCAAGAACTGATTGTGTAGATTTTGCTATGATTATCTGACTTTTTGTAAGATCCTTCCAATAATTTCTTCCTTGATTACAATTAGAGTTTCTATGACTTTCAACCTTACAACAAAACCAGCTGTCCCTTAGTATGCATACGGCCAGGCACTATTCTAGGTACTCAGCATGTATGAATTCCTTTGCCCCTCACTATGAATAGTATCCCCACTGAACAGGTTAGGAAACTCAGGCACAAAGATGTTAGGTAATTTGCCCACCTCACACACCTAGGGAGAGACAAACCCAGGTGCTTGGCTCCTGCGTCTGACTCTTGTATCCACCTGCTCACCACCTCTCAAAAGAACTTCCATGGACCCAGCCGCCATGTACAGCTCTCAGAGTTGCGTTCCTCTAGATTCGGTGACTTCCCTTTCCTTGTGCTGGCTAAGCAGTGAGCAGCTGCACCTGAGTGGCCCCTGGAGGGTGTAACCCAGGTCCCCCGATGTGCTGGCTGTCTTCTGGCCAGTTAGGAACAGGAGCTCAGAGAGAGCACGCTGAGTGCTTACATCTCCTAGCATTCTACATGTTCCCCTGAGGCCATAAACCAATGCCTCACGCAGACCGCGCATTCTACTAAGCCCCAGGATGGGGGTCACAATATCCTCTGGTTAGGTACCACAATTTGGTTTTGATGTTGCCTCAAGAAACTCAAGTGAGTTCACCGTTAATTCCCACAAGGCTGTGAGACCACGCCTGCAGAGTGGCCTCCGTGGCCCCCAGGCCTGATCGCCTGCCATCAGTAAAGGGTAACCCACAGGGGTTCTGATCCCCCAGAATGGGATCCAGTCAATAAAAGCTGAAAACTACAGAAAACCCATTCTACATGCAGCTGGATGTCATTTGATATTTTCCTAAAAACCTCAAAGAAAATCGTCTGTGGAAGTGCTGACCTAACACATGTTCTACATATTCAAAATAGGAGAATGGAATGAGAAACATATTGACCAATAGCCATTTGTGTTATTATAGTAATTCTCTAGTATTTTATCTAGTTTTTTTAAATACTAACACTTAAATATATTGTTCTAGGTTTTGTCTAATAAAAGTAGGAAGTAAAAAGAGAATTGGGATTATCATCTGTCTACTCCGGGTTTTCATCTTTGAGCCACTTGATCAGCGCTGAAAAATGGCAGGGTCATGATGCTTTTCCTAATCAAGTTTTTGCACCAATCCCAGGGGTGAATGTTACGTATTTGTAATATAAACGATATAAAAATTAATCCCCCGAGCACTACAGCGGAGGCAACAGCAATAAGAGTGTGTCCTGGAAAGGGCAACGGCACTTCGTCAACATAAATCTGCAACAGAAAAAAGCAAAGTCTTTAAGCTTTTTTGAATTCAGTCATTCAAAACATTAAACTTCATAAGATGCCCACAATAGCAGAGACATTATTCATGATTTAGCAAAACTCTACTCAGACTTGCAGAGATTTTTCAACTTCTAGGACACATAGAAATCGTCTCTTGTCAATCTGGCAAGTAACCATGTGCATGAAATAAGTAGGGAATAAAAGTTCTATCCATGATTTTGTGCCTTTATCCTTTGTCTTTAATGGCAGCGCTAGGCAGACAGAACACTGCCTAGGTAAGAGAATGTTCTATCTTTTTAAAGTCATAGAAACTCTAATTGTAATCAAGGAGGAAATTATTGGAAGGGTACCATAGAAAATTGGATAATAGCAAAATCTACACAATCAGAGGAGTGGACAGAAGGGGGATTTCAAGTACAGGGACTCAGCCTGTGCTCTTTCAAAATATCATCTCCAGAAAATTCTCTGTGCCCATCTAGAAAATTAATAAAACAAGTTCTGAGAAGAGAGGGTTATTGACAGTGGCATAGAGATGTGTTTTCTGACACTGGAGGCAAAGGTGAAGGACAAACATACTAATCATAGAAGTGGGAGTAAGGCGGGAGTGAGGTGGTTCAAGCCCGGTGGCACAGATTTTCTCCGTAAGGTAGGAAGATCATCCTTTGAGGGACAAGAAGTGGAGATGAATGGAAGTAGGGCAGTGGGAGTGTGGGGACACACTAAGGACAAGAAAGGATTCATAAGCTGCTTGACAGCTCAAGTGAAAGATACTGTAACGGGGGTCCCTAGGAAAAGGGGAAGTTCCAGGTTCCCTGCCCCACCCAGAAGGACAGTGGAGCTGAGGAGAGAAAAAGAGAAGAGAAGAAAGGAATTGAAGGAGAAGAAGAAAGCAGGATGGAGAGCCAGGAGACCTGAGGAAGCCACATGGAGCAGCAAGCATGTGATGAAACCGTGCTTGTTTCCTGACCCTGGACTGGCTGAGGCAGATGTGGGTGAGAGACCTGTGGGGAGGTGACTATGGCAGTATTTATATTGATGTTGCTCTTTTCCTCCCAGACTTGTCTGGCCATTTCTGACCCTTTTCCATGGGTCCCGGCCAAAAGGTGCTTTCATCTTGTGGCTGCTTTCAGGCCTGGCTTTGGGCCAATCCCTTTTGGGTGGACTTTTGCCCACTAGGGGAAGGGTAACTTCAGGTGTTTGATTTAGAAGTTATATTCTTTGTGTCACTGTATTAAAGTCCCTTTTCATTAAAGTTTTATATGTTTTGTCTTAATGCGGCAAAATGTGATGGCAAAACCCACTTAGAGCAGGCAGGTTTGGGGCTTCAGGGGTGCCCCTCTCTCCCTGTCTTGTAACAATACCACCATCCTCCCAGTCACCCAAGGAGTCACATTTTCTTAAAAACAATCCCTACCTGCTGTCAATTCACCTTTGCAGTCCCCTCAATTCCTTACATTCCATTCTCAGTGGTGCTGTTCTAAATTTTATTGCCTTGCTTTTATAAATAAACTAACTTAATAACCTCCTGTCCATGCTGTCAATCTGTGTTGACATAAAAGCATCTTTTAGTGAGATGCTCACTATTTTAGTGAGGGTGCTTTCTTTGCAACTAAAACGCTGATACTGAATAGGCACCAGAAATGTTATCCAAACTGTGAATGTACTTTTACTTTTCTCTGCCTGTTTTCAAGACATTTTTATCTTTGATTTTTTAGTATTTTGATGTGTTTAGGTAGGCATGATTATATTTTTGGAATTCATTAACCTTCCTGCATATGTAAATTATTGTTTCACCAAATTTGGGGCATTTTCAGGCTTTATTTCTCTAGATTTTTTGGCACCAATCTCTTTTTCCTACCCTTCATTGACTCTGCTGACATAAATGTTAAAACTTTCACACAAGTTTCTGAGGCATTTTTTCTTTTAAAATCCTTTCTGTGCAGGTTAAATTTCTGCTGATTTATTTTCAAATTTGTTGTCATTGTCTCTGCCATATCCATTCTGCAGCTCTAATGATTTTAATTTTTAAAATACTATATATTTAAGTTTTAAAATTTCCAGTTGGTTTCTTTTTTTTTTTTATAACTTCTATTTGTCTATTTAGAATTTCTCTTCCTAATCATTTCAAAAGTGTTTACCTTTGCTTCTTTTGCAGCAAAGGAATTATTTCTGATCATTCCATTTATTACTTGTTGACTGTCTCTTCACAAGTGATCACATTTTCTTACATCTTGGTATACTGAGTAATTTCGGATTGTATCCTGGACATTTAAACTATTAAACTGTAAGATTCTGGGTCCTGTTAAAAAGACTTATTTTTCTACCAGATGGTTTCATTCACTGGGTGGGGGGGGAGGGAATGAACAGCCATATACCAGAATACCAGAGACATTTTACGGGGGTGGAGCAGGGAATGGGGTCAAAATGGGGGGGCAGGGAAATGCACTGGACCATGGCAATGGCACATGGATGAATTGGTGTTGGGAAGCCCACGGGGATTACAACTGAGATGGAAAAAGGCACAAAATGATGTAAAAATAAACTATTATATAATAAAAAAGGTAAAAAAAATTAAATTGCATTGAAAAAAATTCCTATTTTTCTTTTATTAATTTTTAAGGATCTTCTTTCCTTCCTAAAGCTTCTTTTCCTTTGACACTTCTTTTCATTCTGTACAATTTCCTAAAACATTTTTTAAAGTTTTTCCTACAGTGGATTATATTCGTTTTCCTTCATCTAAGAATGTTATAGGACAGGGAGAGAGGGGCACCCCTGAAGCCCCAAAACTTCCTGCTCTAAGTGGGTTCTGCCATCTGCTGCAGCAGACAAAATATGTAAGACTTTAATGAATAGGGACTTTAATACAGTAAATATACAATACAG